CTGTTAAGTCTAGCTTTTCTTTTGTATTTAGTCCTCGTCTGAGTCAGTCTTCCCCAGACTTGTCATTTGTATTGTCATGTTTTGTTCCTTGTCCGCCAGTCTTCCCTTCAATAAACCCCGTCTGTCCGTATTTGCGGCTCTGCTTGCCTGCTTCACCGCTTGCCAGTGTGACAGAATGACAAGTCTCCCACAAAGCACGAAGCGGCAGTCCGAGCACCACCGGCTCGGGCTGTTGCAGGACTTCGTGTATTGGAGCGCCCAGCCAGAAGTCAAGGAGGACCCTGTTGCCCTGGATCTCGCTAACCGGGGCACGGACCTCCTCGAGAAAGAGCGCCCGGCAGGTCAGGACTATCCGCTGACAAAAGCACGGAAATGCCTCCGCCGCCTGCAGCACCGGCTCACCGAGCGACGGGAGGCGATCCCGACGCTCCGCTTGGGAGCCTGCACGTTGCTCCCTGCCTGTGAGTACGAGGGCTCACCACCTGCCTGGGAGGACATCGCCGCTGCCCGCCTTGCCAGCTTCCGTGGAGAGCAGCCGCCTCCGTTGGAGGCGTACTTTTATCGGCCGGAGCGTCTGGGGCACGGCGGAATTCGCGCCGTAAGAGACGGCATTCCCCGGGTGCCCAAAGCCCGTAAAGGGAAGGCGCCGACGCGCTCAGCACCCCTCCTGCCTGCTCCGGACCTGTCCTATCCGGACCTTCCGGCTGCGCTGCCTGCTGCCGCTGCCGCGATGCCAGCAGCACCGCCTGACCCGCCCGTCCTGCCTGCTGCAGCTGCCGCCGCTCTGCCTGTGGCACCGCCTGCTGCAGCTTCCGCCGCTCTGCCCGCGGCGGCTCCTGCTGTCCACTCGCCTGACCTGCCCGTCTCGCCTGTCCTGCCCGGCCAGCCCTGCTCGCCGGTCCTGCCCGTCTCGCCTGTCCTGCCCGGCCAGCCCTGCTCACCTGCAGCCGTACCGCCGGAGGATGACGCCGCTCTGCCTGCGGCGCCCCCTGCTGGCCGCACGCCGGTGGAGGAAGACGCGGCTCTGCCCGCGGCACCCCCTGCTGGCCACTCGCCTGAACTGCCTGTCTCGCCTGAACTGCCTGTCTCGCCTGAACTGCCTGAGGCGCCCGTTGCGGCACCCCCTGCTGGCCGCGTGATGGCGGCGCCCGCTGCGGCGCCCCCTGCTGGCCGCGTGATGGCGGCGCCTGCCGAGGCGCCCCCTGCTGGCCGCATGCCTGCAGCTGCCTCCGCTCTGCCCGAAGCGCCCCCTGCTGGTTGCACGCCTGCAGCTGCCTCCGCTCGGCCCGAGGTGCCCCCTGCTGGTCACGTGATGGAGGTGCCCGCCGAGGCGCCCCCTGCTGGCCGCACGCCAGAGGCACCCGCCGAGGCGCTCCCACCTGAACTGCCTGTCTCGCCTGTCCTGCCGGCACCTGAACAGCCTGTCTCTCCCGTCCTGCCCGGCTCTCCAGGCCAGCCCGGCTCTCTCGTCCTGCCCGCGGCCCTGCCTGAGGCCGCCCCTCCCGTCATGCCCGAGGCTCCGGCTGCCCCGCCTGTTGCCTCATTGGAGGCCCTGACTCCCTCGCCCTTACCCCGGCAAGGCCGACGCCCCCCAGGACCCCGCCTGTCAGTGTCCCGTAAGGGA